TTCCATCATCTAGTGTAATCCTAGCAAGCCTCAAACCTTTGAATCTCCTATCTAGGTCATATGTAACATTAGCCTTAAGAGAAGGTTCAAAAGTGGAATTAAGCCCGAACTATAGGATCCAAATGGGACTTGAGATCAGAAGAGGTCTCTCATCCTCAAGATCTACTTGTACCTTGATGTCTCGATAGGCAATTCTCAGAGATTCATATTAATCATAAAAAATCAGCTTGCTGAGATAAACACGTTTCCTCTCATGAAGCTGAGTATCCAAGGGTATAAATTTCTTGGCCACTTGAATGGAGTTGGAGCAGAAAAACATATTGAGATATCCAATAGGTGAGGAAATCTATGTTCTACTGGACGCTCATATTTTCAGTTGAAGCATAATGGCTTTTAATGTATATGATATAACTAGGATGGGAAAAAGTAAAATTGGGTTTGGTTTTGTTAATTCTAGTGGGTTCAAAAGTTTCCGTATTTATTGAAGAACAACAATTTCTGCTATGTAAAAAAGCGTTGGAGATATCATTCCACATGTCTTGAGAGTTGTATCAGCTCAAAGATACCTTGATTTTTCCATACCTTTTCCTTCTTTAGATGAACCCTATTTAGCCATTGGATGTAGAAAGGGTTTTTGGTTGAAGGAGATTATCGAAACACATAGTTTTTCCTGAAGCTAAGATCAAATGGCTCATACTAAAAAGCTAAGGGTTCAAACGAGGGGAAACTAGGAAAGAAATGTTCCAAATTCTGAGATTTCTTAATTTGCCCAGGAAGATTACCCATAAAAGCATGAGTAGTGCCTGCAATGGAATAGGGAATCAATACCTGACAATACTAGATAACTTTCTTTTCCTCTTGCATAGGAGACTCTAGGCATAAGTTTGATATGTGGAACCTTGTTTTGCTGGTGATATGCTAATAAAAATGACAATAACGTTTGATGATGACAATTATGATGACATCGAAAGTATTACGATAAGTCAAGCATGAACGATTAAACAGATAAATATGCAAACATATCTTTAGGGTTTGATAAACTTGAAAATTCGATGATGTCAAACAAAGAATACACCTAAAGCCTCATCTTCAATCCACTCAAGCATGAGTCAACATAAAGATAGGTATCTGACTAAGGCTTGAAGCAATATGTGGTGATCTCTTAACTTAGCATTAGTGATCTCCTACTTTAGTAATGAGTGAATGTTTGTAAAAGAAAAAATGACGTTATCTTAAAAGTATGAGGCTAAAATACACACACACATGCAAACAAAACCCTTTTCAAAATAATTTACCAAAAGAAAATACTTTGAAAAACATCTGGAGGTTGTTTCAAATAAATTAGGAGCAGTCAAAACAGCTAGAGGCAGTTCTTCACTTAGCTAATCAATTAGAGCATTCGTCTAAAGATTAGAAATGTTCAAACTTAACTCCCAAATTATCCTGAAGGCACCTTGGTTCTATGCAACGACTATAAATATTAAACTTCCTTTTTCAGGACTTACAAACGATCATTTACTTCTTCTAATCGATTAGATTGTTGCAAAATGCATTAAATGAAATTTCCTTTTTAAGCCAACCTTAGGCCTATAAATTGAGATTTCATTTCTCGTTTCAAATCATCCAGAATCATGTTTCGACACTTTCATATCTCATTTTCTCTCTCTAAACTTTTTTTGAAACTTTTTCTCACTATGTTTTTATCCTTTTGTGAGTGAGATTGTTTTTGTGATTCTGGAATGGCTAGAATTGTAAAACTCACCAAGGGAATCTTTTGTGTATACCTTGGTTTTAATACTGTCAAATTAGGGATTTGTATGGATTAAACTCAAACCTATAAAATCTTTTATTTGGGATTGGGCATTTCAGTCCTAGTTTAGGTTGGAGATCAGCTTGTGATAAAATCTCTTAGGTTCTTGATCAGCCCGATATTAAAACCAAGATAGATTGAAGATGAGCCCAATAATTAAAAGCTTCACAGGTTTGAGATTAACCTGATGTTAAAATCTCACAGGTTTTTGCTTAGCCTGGTTAAAACCAAGGTATTTAACTTAAAGGTTATGGAACTTGAAGACTAAACACTCCAATGTTTGTGTTTATGGATAAATGACTTAACGCTTCAATCTATCATTTAGAAAGGAAGATTTGCCCCTTCACTCTCAAGCTTACTATTTAGAAAAGACGTAAACACACACATCCATCATCTTGTATGTTGTGTTTGAAGATCAATCACCATTTCATTTTATAAGGGGATTTGTGACTCTTTCCTACTAAAAGCTCTCAAAGTACTATTAGAAACTCTCAAGATCAACTCTTGTGGAGATAAGTAGGTCATTTTATTTTCAGCTGAACTTCTATAATTTTTGGTGTTCCTACTTTCCCTTAACTCCTTTTATTTTTCCACTACTTAGGTTTAGTTAAAATACTTTTAAACTCTCATTTTATTTTTCAAAGTTTTTCAAAACCATGTTTTTCCAATCCACACTCTTTATCTCACTTTCTCTTGTGTGTGAAGTCTCAATTCCAACACGATCGACCTTGAGAATAGGGCCTAGGATGTTAGCAGCAGAAAGAACTGTGGTACACGCTTGAAAAGAGAAATAGAAGTCATTGTTGATTCTCGAAAACTGTTAGAAAGGAATGAGCTTTTGGAAAGACGAGAGTAGAAGTTACATAAATCACAAAGGAATTTCTAGGGTTTTGGGATAAGGAGGTGGTGGAAAAAGAAAAGAGACATTAAATAAGTATATCAATAGCCACAAAGAGAAAAAATCTTCAATTTCCCTCTAAATTATTTATTACAAGTGGGGTTTTGAAATGGACACGTGGCATTTATGTTTTGGGAAAAATTAAATTCAATGTTTTCTTTTAATATCATTTAATTTCATGGCCCATAATTGTCCTAGAAAATTGAAGTGATGATGACAATTTGCATGCATGTTTGAGACGTGACAGTTTGGTGAAAAGTAGTCATGATGGCTAAAAACATCTAATTAATGTGATGTGTGCAGGATATTTTGAACAGTGTCGAGCAATTGCTAAAAATACCACCTTTCTTTCATCTGATACATATGATCGAAAGTAGCATTTTTAGGGAGCATATGTTATCTGGGAAATTCTAGTTGAAGAAAGTCAACAAAGAATGGTAATAATTACGTTAAAAATTGCTAAGTGTCAAGAGCTTCAATCAAAGGCTTCAACATCTAACTATGTCGACTAAGATGGTTCGACTAACCTATCAAATGAGTTGAGGCAAAGAATGGTTTTGAAGAGTCTCAAGAATAGGTCCACAAGATTAGGATCACTCTCTCTTCGAAACATATCCAAAATGTCGAAGGAATTTGCACAAGTCAGATCTTCGACAAGCACTACATAATATGAAGATGTCTCTGAACAACACTATAGAAGTCAACCAAAAACTCTCGACATAAGCAGTTAAGAGGTTCAAAGCAGTTACCAACGCAGATATCAGTTTGATGGTTGGTTTTCAGCAGTTTTATCTTTGAAGACGCGTGGAAGCAAGTTAGGGCAATGTAGCCTATAAAGTGGGATACGTGTCAGATCCTTAGGATCTATCCGTTGTTGACAATGACTATTGTATTAGGATATAAGTCAATCTCAACGTATGGGATCGAGGTCACAAATTTTCACTCATTTTCTATAGAACTAAAGTATCAAAGTTAAAGAGAGAAATAGTTTGTGAGAAATATATGAATTTGCGTCCATCTTTTAACTTTCTTTAAGTTCTTTAAATCAAAACATTTATTTTAGGGTTAAATATGTTTATAGTCCTCATATATTTCAATTTCGTTTTTAGTCCCTCAAATATTTCCTTCAAAGAATAGTCTTCTTAAAGTTTTTAATCCACATTTTTAGTCTCTCCTGCAACTTAGCGACGATTTTTACAACTTAGCGACAAATTTAACGACAGTTTTAACGATGATTTTTAACTTAACGATTGAATTAGCGACCGTTTTAGTATTAGAGATCAAAAGTGTGGGAAATTTTTTAGGAGAATCATTCTTTGAAAGAAATATTTTAAAGGATTAAAAACGAAATTTGTGATATTTAAGAGGACTACAAACATATTTAACCCTTTATTTTATGACATTTATTATGTTTTTTTCTTTACTTTATTTCTTCAAATCAATTATGCATTTGCATTCAATTCGTTAAGTTTCAAACATTTAAGTATCAGCCACAAGCCTACAAACACTTTTTTTTTTCACTTTTTTTTGCACAAATTGTCTTTAAAATTTTTTGAAGTTTAATTTTTTAAATGAACCAAACTCATAAATGTTTACTAAAAATACTAGTGAACACGACGACACAAAATAATTTTAAACTTTGAAAATTTCTTTTACTTAAAATAAAAATTAATTTTAATTTTTGCTGTTTTTAAAGAGAAAATAAAAAATCTATCCGAATAAAACCTAAAATTTATGTAACCTATATTTACCGAGACTAAAAGTATAATTAAGGTTTTAGAAGACTATTCACCCTCTTTTAGTCGGGTCATTAAGTTCTGCTTTACGAAAAATTGTCCAATAAATGATATACATTAGAGTCTAATGTATTTTAACATTCATATCCATTATGTGAAACTCTCCATCATACCAACAACAAATTAAACACAAACGTTAAAGGTCATCGCGTTGAATCATAACATGTGTTTTACAAATCTTCATTCTACATTTTACGTCCATTTAATTGTGATGCATCATTTTACTTTATTTTAATAATCTCAAACCTAATTTGGGTAACATTTTTATACACCATTGTCAAGTAACTTTCCGCCAACAAAGAAAAGAATATAAGTGAAAAACGTACGTGGTTCGATGGCATTTAGTCAAAATTGCCGTCTCTGAAATATAGAAAATGACATAGGAAATTTGAAGAAAGTTCAAAAACTAATAAACAATAAACTATCATGCAGAAGAAAAATATAGTTACATATAAAAGAAAAAATTATTGAAAAACACACAAAATGAAACCGAAAAATGAAGGGAAACCAAGATGTGAAGCTGCTTAACTTTTTATTGAGTCCAGTTGGTCGAAGAGTTGAATGGGCTCTAAAACTCAAAGGTGTTGATTATGAGTATATAGAAGAAGATATCTTCAACAAAAGCAATCTCCTTTTGGAATTGAACCCGGTTCATAAGAAAGTTCCGGTTCTTGTTCATGGCCAGAAATCAATTGCAGAATCATTGATTATTCTTGAATACATTGATGAAACATGGAAGCAATATCCTTTGCTGCCTCTCCATCCTTATGAAAAATCCCGTGCTCGCTTTTGGGCTAAGTTATCTGATGAGAAGGTAATCACTTATCTTTTTCTCATTATTCTGGTCATGTAGCATTCTTGTTAGAAATTCATACTTTAAAAGTGAACAAATGAGATATCACGAATTCGAACCAGCACTCATGCATATGATGTTTTTGTATAGTTACCAACTAAGTTAAGCCCTTAACGAGATATCTCTTTCTCTTATCAAATTTAACTAGTCATATTGCAAATATTTAATGTTATAAAAAATGATATATCGGAATTTTTATTTAAAATTGTATATTGTTCTAATTTACAAAAAAAAATCATTGAAAAACTTATTTTGTGTATATAAATTCTAGCTTGCGTTGGGATCATGGAGAGCAATGGTGAGGAAAGGTGAAGAAGGGGAAAAGTATCTAAAGGAAGCAAGAGAAGTAATGGAGAAGTTAGAAGAGGAGATAAATGGAAAGAAATTCTTTGGTGGGAACAACATTGGGTACCTTGATCTTGCTCTTGGATGGATCACTTGTTGGCTTCCAATTTGGGAGGAAATTGGGTCAATGCAGGTACTTGACCCATTAAAATGTCCATCCATCTCTTCATGGAAGATCAATTTTCTGAATGATCCTGTCATTAAAGACAACTTGCCACCAAAGGATAAAATGATTGTTTATTGTCACCGTCGAATAGAGGAGTTTTCTTCAACTCATCATGGTTAATTGGTTGTTGGTTATGTATGCATATTAGAGTTTCATTTGATTTTCTGAGTAACTTTTATGTCAGTACTTGGGTTGTAAATTATGTGTCATGTTTGGGTTGTGAATAATGTATGTAGATCTAAATAAATTATTATGAAAGCCTCATGCACCACCTAAAAAGAGTGAGATGGCAACGAATTCTTGATGCTTTGAATAATCTAAATTCTAACAATCGTCTTCACAGTAAGAACAATAATTATTGGATAATTGCCACAAGAGCCTTAAATCATGTAACATGAAATTTAAACTTTATGATTAATGTGAAAAATATTTTTAGTTATTCGGGACGGTTGAAAGGGAAAGATGTTACTGCTACAATACATGGCATTGTGATTTTTGATGGTGGTTTGCGCCTTAACAATGTTGTTTTTGTGCCTAAATTAAATTTTAACTTAATTATGGTAACATATTACTCGAGGACACAAACCATATCACACAAATTCCTAATGCGTTGGGTAATATAGGACCGAGCAACGAGAAAGTTGATTGGAGCAGATGAACATGCTGATGACTTTACTCTTTTTGAGGTGTTCTGAATGTGTACACATTGGTAGTGAAAATAAACGTTTGCTTCATCTGTCGAAATAGGTGTTGAAGTTTATACTCCCAACAAATCATAGTTATCTCAACAACTCATAATTATCTCAACAATATGAGTCATATTCAATGATCTCTACCTTAGCAAATATCAAGCCCATATGAAGACTTCTTGCACAATGATTCGTTATGGAAACTGAGGAGGTACACCTCCTGCTTAACACTGAGAAATATGTAATAAGTACAAATAGTATTTGAACTTGTCACTGGTGATTGCATTGGTCAACATATCAACTGCATTCTCTGAAGCGTGAACCTTCTAAAGTAATATATATCTGGACGCCAACAACTCCTTGATCTGGTGGAACCTCACATCAATATGCTTGGTCCTAGAATGATACATTTGATTGTTCACCAAATAGGTAGCACTCTGAGTATCACAATGCAATTGAACTTCACCTTACTCAACACCCAACTCTTTCCCTAACCCTGTAAGCCATTATGCTTTCTTGACAACTTCAGCTACAACAATGTATTCTGCCTCAGTTGTAGACATATATAATATGGATTGAAATGATGATTTTCAGCATATAGGTCTCCCCGCAAGAGTAAAGACATACCCCGTTATAGATCTCTTATCATTCAGATCACTTGCATAGTCAGAATCTACATATCCCACAACTAATGGAACACCTTGCTCCTTGCTAAACATGACACCATGATCTGTTGTACCATTCAAGTACCTTAGGATCCACTTGACTACTTCCTAATATTGCTTCCTTGGCTTGGACATGAACTTACACATTTCATTAATTGCTTGTCCAAACTCGGTCAAGTGCAAAATATAACATACATCAAACAACCAACTGCACTAGAATAAGGAATTTTAGATATATCTTCAATCTCTAAGTCAATCTTCGAACATTGTTCCAAAGAAATCTTTAAATGATTCGTCAATGGAGTACTCACAGACTTTGCTCTACTCATGTCAAATATGCTCAAAACACCTTTAACATAGCTTTTCTGGGACAACCATAATTTATTAGCTCCTTGGTCCCTGTGAATTTCCATCCCAAGAATCTTGTTTGCAGTACTCAGATCCTTCATATCAAACTCCTTACTGTAGCAGGGAAATTTGTGAGTATAAGCTATTGATTAACCTAACTCCAAAAAATGCAAGAGTCGCCACCGCACTTTTATTTTATCTAAAAAAGGAAAGGAAAAAGAGCGAACAAAACCAAAGAGTTCTAAAACAAGAACAAGAAAAACAGAGATATGGGTAAGGGGGTTGGTTACGCAATGGGAAGGTGTTAGCACCCAAAACGTCTATAGTACTCTATAGGATCCCTTTGAAATATTTACGTTTTTTGGCTTGAAAATGGTTTGTTTGAAAAGAGATTGGAGAGATGAGAAGAGAATTGTTTTTTAGATTTTTGTGTTTGCAGAGACTTGTCGCCTCATGCCTACGTACTCACAAAATGCAATATAGGATTAAAACTCTGTAGTTCGTGGTACAAATAACAAAATAGGTTTGTTATTTTTGATTTTAAATGAAAAGACAAGTCGTCATTTTCAATCGAATAATTTCGCTTAAAGAGATGACTCATGTCTAGACTTATGAAAAAGTTTTTGAAAGAAAGTGCATAAGGCACAAAAGTCTTGGATGAGTTTGAATGTTTTTATGTATTTTTGAAAAGAGTCAAAATATGGTTATCATTGACTGACATTTATTGAACAAAAAGAAGTTTGAAAAAAGACACTTGACAAAAGTCAAGGTTTTGTTGTGAAAGCGGTTTGATGTTTTAAAGCAAGAAGGTTTTGAAAAAGGGAAAAGGTTTTGAAAATTGAAGAAGGGGAGGAGATGAAGTGACTACCTTAGAAATCAAAATAACAGCTAGAGATAAGAAGGATCTAACCAACTTGTAGCACACTCCATAGCAAGCCAAAAAAATTTCATCCATCTTGAGCATAAGCAAATGAACAAGCCAAATAAAGGCAAAGATCCATATTACTCCAAGCAAAGGGAAAGAGACCTAATTCTAAGTCCAAGGGTCCAAGAATAGTCTAAGAAGTCCAAGGTCTAAGAATAGTCCAAGAGCATAGCCACAAAGTTAAGAGCACCAAGTCTTTTAGATTTTAATCCTTTATTAGTGTTTTGAACAAGATATGGTCCAAGTGGACTTAAGACAAATAATCAACCATACTTGGACTTTCAAACATAGGTTTGAGCCACGAATGATCACTTTCTGATTACGGGACAATTTAACCCTATGTTAAGAAATCGTAATCGTGTTTATGTAGAAACCACAACTATCTGAGGTCGGTCAATAATAATGTTAGTGCTAATGCATGCTAGAGAAGTGATATGTAGATCACTCTCCGAAAGCAATACCGCGCAAAAATAAAAAAGGTAACGATCTCATCTTCAACAAGAACTTGAAATAAGTTCAAACGATATTGAAGATTTTCATCGATCAAAAGAAAAAGAAGAAGAGGAGAGGGAATGCCAAGTTGAATTACAAGCTCAAGATCATTCCATCTTTAAGTTCATCCACTCATCTTGGTGGATTAAAGTACTAAACATATCATTAATTCAAAGCACCTAAAATGAATTGAACAATTCACTTTAAAGATAGATTTGAATTAATGAATGTTTATCCAACTTCATCTAGACTCTAAGTCCAATGAATTTAAAGAAAAATATGACCCTTAAAAGTGTATTTCATGGTCAAAACCAAAAGAGAATGAAAGAGGAAAAGGTGGGAACCAAAATAGACCTAAAATATAACCAAAAACTCAAAAATAACACTGAGTAACCGGTTACCCTATATAAGGTAACCGGTTACTTCGCTGACAGTGGCAAAAAACAGCAAAACACAGCACCAAAACAAGGCCAGAAAGTGGCAAAAACTTGATCAATCATTTCCACAAACACCTCATGATCAAGGGTGAATTTCAGCACGAGAATTCAAGTAAAATAACAACAATTAATCACCAATAGAACATGATATGAAAGATTCAAAGATCAAGCAACAATGATCAATAATGGATCACATTGTGAAGGATGTATCAAGAGCAACGATGGTGAATCAAGAAAATTACCACTCCAAATCTGAAAGTTCTTCAAATCAACTCCACAAACACCACTTCAAAGCTTTGATCTACAGGAATTGAGGATGAAAAAGTGTGTGGATGAAGGTTTAGCTCAAATATTAGTAAATTCTAGTGATGAAATTACTAATCTTTCAAAGGGAGAAAGAGCTTTGGTGAATTTGGTAATTGGAGAAAAAAATTGAAATTCAAGAAGGAATTTGACAAGGTGATTTTAGCTATCAAAAACTTGAGAAATGAGATAAATGAGGCCTCTATTTATAAGATTTAGGCTTGGAAAATTTGATGGATTGGAGTTTGGTTTGGAATCAAAATTAGGCTTGGAATTTGAATTTGGAGGGAAATTCAAGATCAAAGGGTGATTAGTGAATGTGTATAGTGGAATTAATTATAATTAGGTAGGGGATTTTAAGTGAAGTATTCTAGAATATTCTCATGTTATAAAATTCGAATTTGGTGCCAAAAATGTTGCAGAATTTGAATTTGCCCAAATTTCACAAAATTTACACGAAGTAACCGGTTACTCAATATTGGGTAACCGGTTACCACAGGCAAAAATGGTGAAAAATACCTTTTTGAGGTGATGTCTTGGCTCTGCCTCGATTCTTTTTGCTTGTCAAAGAAGGCGTGGAAATAAACACATGAACCTTGGAGTCTTTTGAATGAAAGTCAATCAAATTTGGGAGACTCTTGATCAGATGATTTTGAATTGTTTGCAGATCAACTTCGACTTTTTTCATATGAAATTCATTCGAGCTGAGGGAATGATATTTGATACCTTGATCCAAATTCTTCTTGAAAAAGTTAGTAAAGAAAAAACAAACATTCTTTTTGGATTTCGATTAAAGGTTAGTAAACATAAGCAAATAAAAGAAAGTAAGAAACACACAGATGCTTGGTGATCCCTGCAAGACATAAAACCAAAGATGGAAGGGATAGAGGAACCAAAGCATGATCTTGTTTGTGGTATGAAATGCGAAGATGCAAAAGAAAAATGAGATGTGGGAAATTTTGGGGTAAAAATTAGGGTATTACACTTACCCAACTTGGTCTTCAACTAATTTACATCATGCAAATGATTGGTAGCAATCAACATATCATCAACATAAAGTAAAAGAAAAATAAAAGATCAATCATCAAGGCTCTCCACATAAACACTTCAATCATAATCACACTTTCTATAGCCAATATGGAGCGTGTATGAATCATAGCATTTGTACCACTGCCTTGGAGACATTACTACAAATAACACATGTCATGTTGAACGTGAAATGGATTTCACCTCGGTTACAATGCTGAGGTAACGAAGGGTG